CGTCAGCCTCCATCACAATCGCATTTTCTCCACAACAATACAACTTGACGTTGGGCTGCCTTGGAGGCCAGACAATGCATCGGCCATCGCCTTGGTCAACACAAATGCACGTTTTGTGGGAAAGTGATGCGAGCGTGACGAAGAGGTACGCGATGACGCCTGCCTCCAGGATGCTCTCCCTCACGTAAACACTCGTCCCACGAAGGGATGGCGAAATTTGGACGTAATGGTATGAGAAGCTTGCTGTACTGAAGCTAGTCATCACCGACTGAATGAGGTAAGTACCATTCTAAAAGGAGACAAGGAGCGCGACCTACTCGGTTAATCCACCACCACACAGTCATCGCTGAGCAAATTCTCTTTTCCCTCGCTTACATGGACAGTATGGACATTCAATCCACTGCCCTTCACTACCGACTAGACACCGTGGAGGGTGCAAAAGGGCGATGTTCTGGCGCAGGTAACCACCATTCTTACCTCTTTAAACGCATAATGAACGGGGTGCGTGGAGGATATGGCGATTATGTCAAAAGCATCCGTCTCCCTGTGTGCGATAACAACGAAGGCCTTCATTGCCATACTGACAAACTTGGAGACCTCAAATCGAATTGGATCGCCGCAAAACATTCCAACCTGATTGTCCCCAATTTCGATGGCACTGTCCGATGCGTTGTTGTAAAGACTGATGTCCATCAGGTACGGCTTGAAGAAGAGGATGTGCTAGGAGCAGGAAGAGAGGCGCAGTGAGATTAGAGGAAGAAAACTTCCCTACAAGTGACGTTGTCAATCTGCTTTATTTTCCCCAACCGCCGCCCTCAACCTCTCGCCTCGTACTCCTCCATCATGACTGCATGCCCCTCCCGAGGCGATTGAATTGACTACAGTCGAGCCCTCATATGCTTGAGGCGTTGACTCACTGCCCATGCATTCCCTGCAGCCCGACAAGGGAGCACACTTTTGCCCTAATACGTGTACCACTCTCACCTCAGTCCTTCCTCTAGACAGACTCACCGGTCGCAAAGGTTCTTCCATCGAATTCCACTGACGAGTGTGGAATGTGACGTGCTTGCGAATGATCTGTGTGTTTTCCTTCCCAACCTTGACGGTTATCTCCATGTTGCAACCACCGGTGGCTGCGAAAAATGTGTCAACTCGTGGACTCGTTGTCCGTACTGTGGCTCCATTCAGACATAAAAACTTCCAATGGAATTCAGTCAAGTTTTTCAACTCTGAAAGGACACAGCATCACAGTGAACGACTTTGTACTGACAAACTTTGCTAACAATAGTGTCAAGCTCACCGTATTCCTGCGGGTACAGTTGGATGGTAGTTTTCTCACAGCAAAAATAATCGTACTTTGAAAGGTGAAACATTGTGACCGATTTGCGCACCTCAACCAGGGCTTCGACCGAGTCTTCTGGTCTGCCGCTCTCAGAGTCGCCCTCCGGCCAGAGGACCAGTCTTATCCTCTTCAATCCAGGCGTTTCGTATTGAAAGTAAAACCTCGGCCAATACTGCTCTCGGTAAATAAACGCAAGGAACTAAAAGTAAGATGAAGTCACACAATCAACTTCGCCTCAAACATTATAAAAGTGTGCGGG